ACCAGTTAGTTCTTTCTGCAGCTCTCGACCCGGTCCCGAGAAGGGGCAGCCAGAAACTCCTTCAAATTAAACATTCTCACGTTAACCCACAAAACCAGAAACAAAACACGGGTTCTCAAAGTAACACCACTAAACAAAATTAACCCGGACGAGCCCCCAATATGTTACGACCCCAACCTGGTCTAGGATCCAGGGAGGTCTAACACAGAAATGTGAGAATAAAAAGAAAATGATCTGACACCAAGTCACAACCAAAGAAGAAGTTTTATTAACAAAACGCGTCCCTAAGGGAGAAGACCTGGTTAATAAACGAAGGGGAGTTTAACGTATGCTGCAGAGACTTAAAACTGAGGATTTAAGAAACTTAAAGAGCACTAAAATAAGAACTAAAACTCACTGGTTCCAAAAGTGAAACCAGGAACAACAGAAGCTTGCCCGGAGGCCTTACCACAAAGTCCACTGGTGACTAACTCACCCACACAACCGACAGCTCTGTTAAGAGCAAAAGGAAAACGAATATCAGCCAGAATGTTTTCCCAAGCAGGTGGAAATTAACCATCCGGGGGCAACTATGACTTCTACAAGTTCTCAAACACAAGTCTCTTTAATCCTCTCCTCTCCAGTCCTCTCAAACTGTCCTTCTCCGTCCTCTCCGTGTCTCAATCTCTCCCTCTCTCCGTCTCTCTCTCTCTCTCTCTGTCCTCTTTCAGTCCTCTCCCCCCCTTTCCTCTCAAACTGTCCTTCTCCGTCCTCTCCGTGTCTCAATCTCTCCCTGTCTCAATCCGTCTCTCTCTCTCAGTCCTCTCTCTGTTCTCTCCTTCAGTCCTTCAGTGCAGCGCTGATTTTATCTGCTCCAGCCGGGGATTTCCTGATGCGCATCAGCTGCGCGAGTGTGGCTGGGCGCTCTCCAGGGTGCTGACCATGGTGCTGCAACAGAGCGGAGTAGAAGCCGGGCGCTGGGGAACTCAGGGATCGTAACATCGACCTTTCCCTGTTCAACTGCTCCATAGCAGTGATGCATTTCCGCATGTTAACAATGAGGCAAGTTCTAGAATACGTGCGCTCCGGGGACTGGTTCACGTCAATAGACCTGAAAGATGCATACTTTCACACCCCAGTAATTCCCAAACACCGGAAGTTCCTGCGCTTTTCATTCAAGGGAGTTCAATAACTTTATTTTTTCTCTAAGTGTTTTTCTCCCCAGAAGAAGCTACAACGATGTTCTGCTGAGCTGTGGTGGCCTCATGGAGGGGGCCATCGACTAGCACACTGCTGCTAACCACTAATACATTCTCTCTCTCCTGATAATAACTTTTTGTTTTCATTGACGTTGGATGTGCTACTACTAGTTTACCTGTTTAATTATAGATCCACTAGGATAAATACAATAAAGTTTATCTTTCACCAAATACAATATTTACTAAGACATCACAATATAACTATAGACACATTACTTGTGTGTGTGTGTGTGTGTGTGTGTGTGTGTGTGTGTGTGTGTGTGTGTGTGTGTGTGTGTGTGTGTGTGTGTCTGTCTGCCTGCTCTGTCTTCTCGATCCCCAGTGAGTCGTGGAGGATACTTAGCCAGGATTCTCTGGAGGTTTCTTCCTGTTAAAAGGGAGTTTTCCTCTCCACTGTTGCTGCATGCTTGCTTAGTATGAGGATTGCTGTATAGTCACTGACACTAGTCAGTGACTTGATGCAATTTGCTGGGTTCCTTATATAGGAAACATTATTTCTGATTGGCTTAATGAACTGACCTGAATTGGAATGTTTATTATGTGAAGTGCCTTGAGACGACTCTTGTCGTGATTTGGCGCTTTATAAATAAAGTTGAATTGAATTGAATACCAGTTCAATCGTCTCCCTTTCGGCTACTCGCTAGCCCCGCGCACCTTCTCCAAATGTCTGGAGACCACTCTGCAGCCATTGCGCACGGTGGGAATGAGGGTTTTATTTTACCTAGAAGATCTGCTCCTATGCGCCCGGTCCAAGGACGAGGCGTCAGAGCAAACCAGGAAGTTAATAGAGCATCTGTCAACCCTGGGGTTTTCCATAAAAAGGGAAAAGAGCTCCATCCTTCCATCCCAGTCGATTGTGTTTCTTGGGGTGGAGCCTCCCTAATGAGAGCACGTTTGTCTCCAGCGAGAGCAGCAGATCTCACCCCGGTGATCTCCCGCGTGCAACCCCGCAAGATCGGGAGAGCCCTGTTAGTCATGAAACTTCTGGGCATGATGGCTGCAGCCCACGCTGTGGTGTCGTTAGGTTTACTACACACGAGACACCTACAGCGTTGGTTCATCTGCCTCCGGGTACACCCAATACGTCAGAAGAGAAGTATGTTGAGGGTTCCCCCTTCAGTGGGCAGGGACCTCGCTCACTGGGGGAATCCCTGCATCCTCTCACACGGGGTCCCCATCGGACGTCCTACGTCACACATATCTGTTTTTACAGATGCATCACTGTTGGGATGGGGGGGGGGGGGGGGGGCACGTGCTTGTCCCATATGGTGGCAGATCGCTGGCCCTCCCACACGCACGAGCACATAAATGTGTTGGAGCTTATGACAGTGAGAAATGTGATCAGACACTACGCTGCCCTTCTTGAGGGCCGTCATGTCGAAGTTCACACAGACAACCAGGTGGCGGCAGCCTACATAAATGGCCAAGGGGGAATTCGATCCCTCCCACTATTGCTCGTAGCCACAGATTTACTGTGTTGGGCACATGTCCACCTGCTGTCCATCAAAGCCACCTACATTCCTGGGGTCCTGAATGTGGCAGCAGACATCCTGTCGAGAGGGGGACCCCGCGACTCCGACTGGCGTCTGCATCCCGCACTGATATCACAGATTTGGATCAAGTTCGGGGAACCCTCTGTGGATCTGTTCGCGGCTCGCGAAAACGCTCAGTGTCGCCTGTAGTTTTCCCTGAGTCCCCGGGACCACCCCCCGCTTGGAGCGGACGCCTTCTCACGCCAGCCCTGGCCTCAGACGCTCCTGTTTGCGTTTCCTCTGGTCCCACTGATTCCCCGTCTCCTGGACCGAGTTCGATCGGAACAGCTCTCGGTAATTCTGGTAGCTCCCAGACGCTTGTCTGCGTCATGGTTTCCGGACCTGCAAGCGCTAGTGTCCGGCTCCCCGTGGAGGCTCCCGTGGAGGGTGGACGCCCTTCTCCAGGCGGATGGGATAATAAAACATCCTCCAGAAATAGGCCAACGGCTGTGGGTCTGGCCGCTGAGCGGTCACGCTTAGAGGCTTCTGGGCTGCCGCATGATGTGGTCGCCACGATTCAGAGTGCGCGGGCGCCTTCTACCGTCGCATCCTATGCTGCTAAATGGGCAGCTTTCCAAAAATGGTGCACAGAGCGGAATGTTCAAGCGCTCTCCTGCCAGCTGGCGGATGTCCTATCGTTTCTGCAGATACTGGTGGACAGGGGCCTCGCATTCAGCACTATTAAAACATATGCTGCAGCTATCTCATCCTGTCACCAAGGTTTTGGAGATAGATCTGTTTTCAATCATCCCCTCACAAAACGTTTTCTAAAAGGTGTCAGAAGGAACAGACCTGTGTCCCACCCGCTATTTCCTCAGTGGGACCTAACGGTGGTTCTGCGCGGCTTATCTGAAGCCTCATTTGAACCCTTGGACCAGGTCTCACTCAAGTTCCTGTCACTCAAAACTGCCTTGCTGCTGGCGCTGGCATCAGTCAAGAGAGTGAGCGACCTAACCGCCCTCTCAGTGGCTCCCGCATACCTCAGGATCCGGGAAGATGGCGGGTCTGCTGTTTTCTGCCCCAACCCAGCCTTTGTGCCCAAAAACATTAATACTTCCTTCAAATCCAGGTCAATTTCATTGGCTGGACTTTTTCCTCCTCCCCATAATTCTGATGAGGAGGCGGCTTCCCACCTTCTCTGCCCGGTGTACGCGCTCGCACGATATGTGTCACGCACTTCAGGGATTTGCCACTCACAAAGCCTGTTTGTGCACTACAGAGGCTCTTCCCTTGGGCAAGTGCTGTCGACCCAGCGTCTTTCACACTGGCTGTGTGACGCCATTTCACTCGCTTACACATCATCAGGGTGGGATCCTCCTGAGACACTCCGGGCTCACTCAGCCAGAGGGATTTCTTCTTGTGTGGCGCTCCACAGTGGTGTGTCGATGGAAGACATTTTTTAGGCTGCTTCATGGGCTTCCCCATGTCCCTTTACTCGTTATTATTTATGAGATGCGTCTTCAGGTTCCATTACTCGTTCAGTGCTTGGACCCCAACAGGCTGAGTGAAAACATTTCAGCCTCACGTTGGCCCTACTACAATAATACATATCCAGAGGAAATTATCTCCGTCTGGCCCCAAAACAATTTCTAATCGGAATCTGGCGTCCTTGAGCCTGCAAGGCTCCAACGAAGACTCCCCCCTCAGAAGATATGTGGAATGTGCCGTCGCTATGGCAACTCAACTCTGCCTCCTTTCCCTACCCACAACCCCACCTAGTGGGCACTTATGTTGTGTTGTCTGAAGTCTGTTGCATATCTGTGTGAGGTGTTTTTTTGCAGAGCAAAGCTGCTCTCCTGCTGGAGAGTAGCTCTGAAGTGCCTATTATCCCTCCACCTGAACCAATCCTCAAGTAACCCTCTGTGAAAACCCGACCTACCCCCGACCTATTATGCTTTGGATATAATAATGATTACTATAATTATGATTATGGTTGATGACAGTAATGTGTTCAGCAAAGAAGGTCAGTTCCACCTTATCCATCTAACACAGAGTTTATCCAGAGTAAACAATAACTGCCAACACATGTTTTTGACACATGACCAAAGCTTTCTTGCTGAGAGTGGGTGTGTTCTGGGGTCTTTGTAAACTAACTACCACAGTTTTCACATCAGTTCTTGAACCAACACCATTCTGAGGAGACAGGAATGGCCGCCAAGACCCTGTCATGGTTTTTTCTCTATTTAGATATGTGACCCACATACAAGATGACTCTCAAGAGACCAGGAGATGTAGTAAAAAATAGTTTATTAGAGGTGAGCGGAGGCTGGCAGGGATGGGCTGGTTCCGGAGCTAGAGATTGGATCACTGGAAGAAATAACACATGAAATGATGATCGGGACGGGGAGATATTTATGTAGATAGTGGGGAGAGTTCTTACTGAGATTTGGTTGTAGCGGAGCGTGGGAGAGGTGAGCCGGTACCGGGGCTGTGGGTCGATGTGGAGGTTCGGAGCAGTGAGGCGGGTTGTTGGAGGGTGAACAGGAGACGCACGGGAGGAGAACAGAGCCAGGGAGGATTCAGCCGTGGTTCAGGAGATCCGGGAGCTGCAGAGGCTGGTATGAGACTTCCACACAAAGGTGTAATCCAGAATGGGTTCTAGGAATCCTGTGATGACAGACAGAGGTTTCAGGGAACAGACTAGAATAAGATCGGATAACAGGAACAGATTCAGGTGGCTGGACGTTACACTAAGGCAAACAATCTGGCGCTGAGTGGCTGGTTCACTGGCTCCTTTATTCCTCCCATCTAATTACATGATGGGCTGCAGGTGTGCAGGGTGACTCTGCAGCCGAGGTAATTAGCTGGATGGAGTCTCCTTATGAGTATCCCTAGCCCTCCAACAACCTGTGAAGAAGAAATGTGAACCCACAAACCCAGTACCTGACACCACCCCCCTCTCAACGGACGCCACCAGGCGGCCCAGAGCCACAAGCAGGCAAAGAGGCCTCAAAATCCGAGATGAGGCCCGGGTGCAATATGAAGGACCGAGGCACCCAAGAGCGGGCCTCAGGGCCGTAGCCCTCCCAATCGACGAGGTATTGCAGGCTCCTACCATGACGACGGGAGTCCACAATCCGGCGAACCAACCAGGCAGGATGGCCATCCACAAGCAGGGCGGGAGGAGGGGGAGCGGCCGGAGGCCAAAGCGGGCTGGAGAGAACAGGCTTGATCTGAGAGACATGGAAGGTGAGATGGACCCGGAGACCAGGGGAAAGGCGGAGACGGGCCGAGACAGGACTGAGGACCTCCAGAACCTCGTATTGACCCAGGAACCTGGGGGAGAGCTTGCGAGACACTGACTTCAGGGGAACATGCAGAGAAGAAAGCCAAACCTTCTGCCCGGGGAAGTACACTGGAGCAGGCGCCCGCCGAGAGTCAGCATATTTGCGATTCTGTTCCAGGGTGCGGTTGAGGGCAGAAGTGGCAATGGACCATACACAACGGCAGCGGCGGACATGATGGTGGACAGAGGTGACAGAGATGTCCTTCTCATCAGCTGGAAAGAGAGGGGGTTGATAACCTAGGGACACCTCAAAAGGAGAGAGACCAGTGGCAGAGGAGACATGGGAATTGTGGGCATACTCCACCCAGGGCAGGAACAGGCTCCAGTCAGAAGGGTTGGATGAGGTCACACAACGGAGCGAGGCTTCAAGTTCCTGATTCATACGTTCAGTCTGACCGTTGGTTTGAGGGTGATATCCTGAAGAGAGACTGACCTGGGAACCAAGGGCTGAACAAAACTGCTTCCATACCTGGGAGACAAACTGAGGGCCAAGATCTGAAAGAACGTCTTGAGGGATTCCATGTAGACGAAAGATGTGCTTGACCAGAAGTTGTGCAGTCTGGAAGGCGGTAGGAAGTTTTCTGAGGGGAATGAGATGGCAGGCTTTAGAAAATCTATCGATGACAGTCAGAATGGTAGTCATACCCTTCGAAGGTGGGAGACCGGTGACGAAATCCAAGGCAATATGTGACCACGGTCTTTTGGGAATGGGTAGGGGTTGTAAGAGGCCAGAAGGAGGTTTGTTACCAGTCTTATTACAGGCACAGGCAGGGCAGGCGAGGACATAGTCCCTTACATCTTTGTGAAGGGACGACCACCAGAACCTTCGAGAGATCAGAGCTATGGTGCGGCTTGTGCCTGGGTGACAGGAGAACTTCGCTGTGTGAAACCAGTGAATGAGCTTGGAACGAACAGTAGAAGGAACATATGTCCGGTTGGTTGGTCCGGTCCCTGGGTCTGGCTCATCCTTCAGAGCCTGGGAGACAATATTCTCGATGTCCCAGGTTACGGCACCCACAGAACAACTGAGAGGGAGGATGAGGGCAGGAGGTTCGGAGCCTTCTTCTGCAGAGAATTGGCGGGAGAGTGCATCAGGTTTGGTATTTTTGGAGCCTGGACGGAATGAAATGGTTAGGTTAAACCGGGAGAAAAACAGGGACCACCGTGACTGGCGGGAATTGAGACGTTTGGCTGATTGCAGATATGACAGGTTTTTATGATCTGTCCATACCAATGCCGGGTGTGTGGAGCCCTCCAACCAATGACACCATTCCTCCAAAGCAATTTTAATGACAAGTAGTTCTCGGTCTCCAACGTCATAGTTCCTTTCAGCTGGGCTCAACCTGCGAGAATAGAAGGCACAGGGATGCAACTTTCCATCATGCACTGACCTTTGAGATAACACGGCACCTGCTCCGGTATCAGAAGCGTCGACTTCCAGGATGAATTGCTTTTGAGGATCAGGTTGAATCAAGATGGGGGCAGAGGCAAACAGGTTTTTGAGAGCTGTGAAGTCGTGGTTGGCTTCAAGGGTCCCTTCAAACTTGCTCTTGGTGGAGGTAAGGGCAGTTAATGGAGATGCAGTTTGGCTGTAATTCTTTAGAAGCGGCGGTAAAAGTTAGCAAACCCTAGGAAGCGTTGGAGCTGTTTTCGGTTTTCCGGGGTGGGCCAGTTTAGGACAGCTTTAATCTTGTCTGGGTCTGTGCGCACCTGTCCACCCTCAAAGATGTATCCTAGGAATGTTATGGATGACCGATGAAACTCACTTTTTTCAGCCTTAACATAGAGGCGGTTTTCGAGGAGACGCTGGAGAACCATGCGGACATGTTTGTGGTGTTCATCAGAGAAGATCAGGATATCGTCTAGATAGACTGAAACAAACCGGTTACTGAAATCACAGAGAACATCGTTTGTCATGGCTTGGAATACGGCGGGGGCGTTAGTGAGTCCGAAGGGCATAACTAGGTATTCATAGTGACCAAGAGGTGTCTGAAAGGCAGTTTTCTATTCGTCACCCTGACGGATGCGGACGAGATGATAAGCATTCCGAAGATCCAGTTTGGTAAATACAGTAGCATTTTGCATAAGATCAAAGGTGGAGGAAATGAGAGGAAGGGGATATTTGTTTCTCACCGAGATCTGGTTCAGTCCACGATAATCAATGCAGGGCCTCAGGGAACCATCTTTTTTGGATACAAAGAAAAATCCAGCACCAAGGGGAGAAGAGGATGGACGAATCAGACCCGCAGACAGGGGTTCTTTGATATAGGTCTCCATGGCTTCTCTTTCCGGTCGGGAGATGTTATATAGTCGGCTGGAGGGCAGGGGAGCTCCAGGCAGAAGGTCTATGGCACAGTCATATGGTCTGTGAGGGGGTAAACAGGAGGCGTTGTGCTTATTAAATACCTGGTTCAGATCGTGATTGATATCTGGGACATGAGATAGGTCAGAGGTCTCAACTTCTGTCTGGCTGATGGGAGCAGAGTTTGGGAGCAAGGCTGATTGGAGACAGGACGAGTGGCAGAATGAGGACCAAGAATCGACACGGAGATTGTGCCAATTTAGCGAGGGGTTGTGTCTCTGCAGCCAGTTGAATCCTAGAACAATAGGAGGCTGTTTAATAGGGAAAAGCAAGAAGGACAGGGTTTCCACATGATTACCAGATATAATAAGTTTTACAGGTTCTGTTTTGTGTGTGATTAGGGGGAGCGGGTTGCCGTCCAAGGCAGAAACACAGATAGGAGAAGATAATGGAACAGTTTTGAACTTACATTGAGAGGCAAAGTTGGTATCTATGAGGTTCTGTTCACAACCGGAGTCTATGAGTGCAGACAGAGTGAAGGAGTCGTCAGAGCTGAGTAGGGTAGCAGGAAGGAGGAGTCGGGGTTGATTCTGTAGGTAGAGAGGGTCCGACAGTGTCCCCGTGTCTACTGTCGGACCCTCTTTTGGGCGAATGGAACATGAAGAGATGAAATGGCCGGAGGAGCCACAGTAGAGACACTGGTTGGCTTGGATTCGTCGCTGTCGCTCCTCCTGTGTCAAGTGGGTACGACCCAGCTGCATGGGTTCAGTTTCAACAGGATGAGAACGAGGAGGAGGAGATGTGTTGAGACTGGATCCAGAGGTTGTAGAGTAGGTGCTTGGTCGGAGTGTGGCTTTCTGGATCTTGTCTCTTACTTTATCCCTCAGGCGGTTGTCAAGCCTGACAGCGAGTGTGATTAAGTCATTCAGGTTATCAGGTTCGTCCAGCATTTTTAGCTCGTCTCTCACCGGCTCATTCAGTGCATGAAAAAACTCACTCATTAGTGACTCTTCGTTCCAAGTAGAAGAAGCGGCAAGGGTGCGGAATTCTATTGAGAATTCGGCCACTGATTTATTGCCCTGTTTTGCCCTCCGTAATGCACTGGAGTATGTGGAGCGGTCAGCTTCCAGGTCAAAGGTTTGATTTAACTCTTCCACAAATGTATTAAAAGTGCAATTAAATCCACGGGCATTACGGAATCGGGCCTCGGCCCATCTTAAGGCTTTTCCTTTCAATAATCCAATGATGAAAGAGATTTTTGAGTCATCATCCGGAAAGGAATATGGTGAAGACTTAAACACGAGTGTGCATTGAAATAAGAAGCTCGCACAGCCACCCACCTCCCCTGCATAACGTTCGGGAACTGGGGCTGGAAAGTGATGAGAAGCTACTGTAGAGGTGGGTGTAGGACGGTCTGGAAAGGCCGCAGCGCCACCTTGTGGCTGAGGAGGGCTGAACTTGCTGGCTACATCGGACAAGAGAATTGTGAGCTGATCCAGACGTTGGTTCGTGACAGCTTGTTGGTCCCTAAGGTTCTGAAGAAATGAATCATGCATTTGTAAAAGATTATTTTGATCAGCTACCGATCTCCTAACAGTCTCTGCGGGGTCGGTTTGGCCAGATTGTTCTGTCATGGTTTTTTCTCTATTTAGATATGTGACCCACATACAAGATGACTCTCAGGAGACCAGGAGATGTAGTGAAAAATAGTTTATTAGAGGTGAGCGGAGGCTGGCAGGGATGGGCTGGTTCCGGAGCTAGAGATTGGATCACTGGAAGAAATAACACATGAAATGATGATCGGGACGGGGAGATATTTATGTAGATAGTGAGAGTTCTTACTGAGATTTGGTTGTAGCGGAGCGTGGGAGAGGTGAGCCGGTACCGGGGCTGTGGGTCGATGTGGAGGTTCGGAGCAGTGAGGCGGGTTGTTGGAGGGTGAACAGGAGACGCACGGGAGGAGAACAGAGCCA